AATCATGGAGGAATATCCGGTAATGTCCACTTCGCAGGGCACTTACAGTCAAATATAACAAACCTATGAAGCAATAAGAGAAACATACTAAATGTGCAGAGCGGGGGTAGGCGATGACTGGAATTGAGAACCGCTGGTCTAGACATGCCAAAAATTTGACGCTACAGCACAGCAGCTCTTCTTCTTCGTTTTCTTAACTTTCTAGATCTTTTTTATGCCCAAACATACACACTACACACTGACTAAAATTAAAAAAGTGAAAAAGCATAATAGGACCCCTTTAATGAATATAAAGTTCCAAAGAACAGCCTATATCTATTCTAAGAATGTAAAAGTCTTTAAGGCATCCTTACTCAATTAAAGTATTCATTTCTTTTTTTTTAAACATTGATCACAAACTTTTTAATGGTAGTACATGTAAATCTTATGTGTGTCATATTGCTGTTATAGTATTAGTTCCAACTAAAAAATGGAATGCATCTTTTTATTAGCCAGTATAATAGCATCTTGAGCATAACTCACTGGTCTGCTCAACTAATTTGAGAATAACTCCACCAATGTGCAGGTCAGAGGTCACACTGATTTGGAGGGGTGGGGCATCAGGACCAAGATCCTCCACTGTGACTGTAAGGTCCCACGCTGCCATTCTGCTGCCGGGAGATCCCAAAAATATGGAAACAATGAGGTTTGATCAAACATAAGCTGTTCTGTACACTACTGAAATCAAATGATCAGTTTTGAGCATGGACCAAACATTAAAAGGAATGATGAGCAGCTGTATATCACATGTTTAACATGATCATACTGAAGGTAATGGTGGTGACACATCACCAGCTCAGTGTGATCATGCTGTCTTGCTCCTAGTTAAGTTCACTGAGGCTGATACTTCCCGTTTATATGAATCACATGGAACCACATTTCCTCTTTTGGTCAAGCATCTAATCCATCAGTGCATGTAATGGTGTGTTGGTTTATATGTATTGGTCGTGTGGGTGTGTGTGTGATAATTCTGAATATAGCTAACTGAAACTGAAACCTGAAATAGACCCAAACTCAAGAAACATCATAAAATATTACTGAACAACTCAACTTCATGACTTTTTAAACTGTAACATAAATGTAATTTAAACGTCACAATAACGTAAGTGTATGTAGACACAACACTGCAAAATAGGGCAATGTGTAGCTAATAAACACCTTTAGATAATATACAGTTTATATAAATAAAATGCTTTAGATGTAATTTAACCAACTTAATATTGAATTATATTGTAAATTTCTATTCTAAATGATCACCTGTTTGTTCATGATCTGAAATAAAGTGACTACAGAAATATCTCACTGTTACTGTTTTAAATGACTCACTGCTAATAGCTCAAAATATAAGTCAAATAATTATAGTTTTGTTACCTTTTCTCTTTTACTCTGGATTTGCTGATGATGGTGTCTCCCTCTTGTGCGGTCAATTAAATGCTGGTAGGTCTCTTTTTGAGATACACAGACAAACACACACTCATATGGACAAGACCCCTCTGCTGCTTAAAACCAGTTGTGGTTTTTCATGGTATGTCAGAGCTGACTAAATAGGGTGTTCCTCTTTTGTCAGCTTCCGGTGTAACGGAACTGTGTTGTTTTCACACTAAATGCGCTCTTACACAAGGCAACAAAAACACAGGCACTTAGAATCATGATAGTTATAAATACTGCAGAGACAACTGAGTGTATAGGAATTATGTAGGCTATTGTTATTTTTCACAGTGTAAAATGGTGCTATGCTCAAATTATTGATTTTATCACTTGAAATAATATGAAAGAGAGGCTTCTGTAGAGTGTTTATTTAGCCAACATCGCACAAAAGAAGAAGAAGAAAAAAAAGATATAAACGGGTTAAAAAAACACACATTTCAGTGCAATTTTATCTTCATCTAAATGTTTTATATTAACTGAGAGTAAATATTTGTACATTAAAAAAACTTTACCTGTCCAAGAACTCGCAATTATTGTGCTACTTTTCTGTTTTGTATTTGTTTTATAAATAAATTGATTAAAAAAAATTATATACTGCCAGTCAAAAATTTGAAATAATTACATTTTTAAAATGTTTTTGAAAGAAGTCTCTTATTCTCACCAAGGATGCATTTATGAAAAATACAGTAAAAAACAGAAATATTCTGAAATATTCTAAAATATTATTACAGTTTTAAAGTATTTTTTCTATTATAATATATTTTAAAATGTAATTGATTCCTGTGATAGTAAAGCTGAATTTTCAGCAGACATTACTTCAGTCTTCAGTGTCACGATACTACTACCAATAAAAATGGTTAAGAAACTAAAAATAGTGACCAGCACCTAAATTCGTATAAAGTTTAATACAAAATCAGAACGTTGATAAAACTTTATGTCAATTGTATGTCAAACCAAAATGATTAGTGACAAGACAGCTTGACTAAAATATCGCGCTTACACCTTTTTGCCGCTAGATGTCAGTAAAGGATGAATGATGTTGATCCGGGACAGTCCAAATAACGAGAAGCGCTTGCGATTGAATTCATGGACCCCTACATATTGGTATAGTCCCATTTGCTTTCATTGTATCAGTCAAGACAGTCGAGTTTCAATTTCACTATTGTTATTTAAAGCTATAAAAAGCTCTAAAACTGCTTATTACAACAAACTCCAAATCGAAACAAGGATAAACTCAAGGCGCAGACGGGAGACATTCGGGCTTTAAACGTTAAATTTGCCACAGCTGTCAAGACAGACCACACTATGGCGTTTCAGATGTCAAAACTTGCTGCTCGTGTTTCGCTCTCCAGAAGCGTTGGGTTCATTTCCAGCGCTGGAAACAGATGTCCGAGTCATCTCAATTTCATCAGCAGACTTGCACATCGCTCCTTTCATTCTCTCTGCGGCGCGGGCAGAGGGTCTGCGAGTATCAAAGTGCTGCCCTCCCCGGGGGTCTTACGTAAAGCAGACAGGTGGGAGAAGGTTTCCACGGCCTCAAAGTCCCTTCACAGGCAGAGTGGAGGGGCTGTTAAGCCGCGCCGCGTCACCAGGGTTGTTATAGGCGCCGTGGGGGTCTCTGCTGCGGTGCTGGCCTCTCTGAGCACGAGCACGCTGCACGCCTTGAACCTGGATTCTGAGAGCAGTGACTGGAAAGAGGCGAAGAGTGAGTGCCTCCCTAGAGAGTGTACAGATGTCAGAACCGCTGTCCAACACACACTTCACTGACAGAGAACCAGAAATAAATATAATGTAACTAGAATAATTAAGAAATAGATTACTTGTGTCACTTCGAGACTAATTTGCAAATGACTGTACATTATCCCGACTATCTATCTATCTATCTAAACTATTTGAAACTTTCAGACTAGACTCAAGCCAGCATCCAAGTTTTTTGTTTTAACTGCCCAAATCAGCTATTGACCAATCAGAATCTTTGAATTTATCAATAACATCAAACTGAGCCCTGAAATGTCTAAATAAAAATAAAATGACATGTTTTTATTTTTATTCATTCATCATATTTATCTTTGGTAGAAAAGCTTTGCTCCATGGATAAGGAGAAGAGGAGGGAAATGTACAGGGTTGACTTCATTCCTCTGGAGAAGATTCCTGTCTGGAGTCCCTCAGGTGAACAAAACACACTAAAACACTCATGTATAAAAATACGAAAAGTGAGTCTTTTTGTTTAAATCCTAAAACAATTTAACCTGGAGTCCGTAAATTCTTAGAAGGATGAAGACATGAATATATTGTTGTATGAAGGCCAGCTTATATAGGGGTTGTTTGGTGTAAATACATGTTAACATTACTGTGTGCTTCCTCTTAGGTGACCCCTCTTGTAAGCCTCGGTACAAAGTCAATGAAGAGCTGAATAGGAAAATATCCCTCTTCAGTGGTGACATCACAAAACTGGAGATCGACGCAATCGCCAACGCAGGTGAGAATTGCAGTACAGGAAAATTCAGTCTATGTTACCTGGTCTGCCAAACGATTTTATTGTTTCCCAAGAGCGCCATATATCATAAACTTAAAACAAAGATTCAGCAGTTTATTGTTAAGATATTTTTTTGCAGTCTTTTTAAACATTTTTTTTACCATAATCGCAAGTCATTTTTGTTGAAAATATGCAATACGTAGGAGAATTTGTCATAGTTGAGTTGAGCTCTAGTGCTCTGGCCCTGTTTTTATATAATAAGGCAGTGAACCTTTCAACTTCTTGATTTGCAGCACTAAATGTCCATTTGAGTTTAGAGAGCCCTTCAATAGAACAAAAAAATAAACTCTCTCATCCATATCGCTCTTTTTCCAGTACTATTTTAATAAAAGTTGCCATTTAGAAAGAGCAGAAATTATCGGCAATCCTCATCGGTAGATGTCATGTCACTAGGTGGAGATAGAGCTTACTGTCTGTGTGTGGTATCCAGTCCCTTTGTAGACACACCTGAAGGTTTCAAACATTCATCTGCATTTGCCAGTTTGTTCTTGGCAGTTGCAGAACAAAGTGACTTTCAGGAACTTCTCAGCTTTTCACATTTGCATCCTTTAAATAGCTAAAGAGACAAGTCAGGCACTAAAATGACAGACTAAAAACTCTCTCAGTTGCATCTTAGTGAAGATGCACCTGCAAACCTTAGTCAGAATAGCTGTATTTAATTTTGCCAAAGGAAACAAGGTTGTGAGGGACATATTTACAGCACATTCAGTGGGTTATACTGTTGTGTACATTGGTGTCAGTAGTTCAATACTAAAGTACATCATTCCAAAAGATTGATTGTAAAAATTAGCTGCAAACTAAGACTTTAGGACTATACATCTGTCCCCTCAGGCTTGTTTTCAGTCGTGTTAAAATAAATATGTCATCTATCCTGACTAAGGTCCATTTTAGGTCAGGAAATGAATCATTTTGATAATTAATATACTGCTGTTAGAGTCAGCATATTCCAGGTATTTAGCATATTGACATTAGCATATTCATACAGTGTTAGTAGAGTGCTCAGGTTTATTATTTCTCCATCATCAACTCTAAGCTGCCATAAAGCAAAGCAATGACTGGTTAATGTTTTAGCAATCATATTACCACAGGACCTTATGCTTACTGCTAGTCGGCCTAATGGAGCTCATTGAAACAGGCATGCAGAGAGATCGTTTTCCGACTTGTTCGGAACATGAGCAGAAAGAGAAGAAGTGGGCGAGGAGAAAAAGAAGCTGAAAAGTCAAAGGACTAAGAGTGGGCACGGAGAGAAAGAGAGGGGTTTGTCAGAGAGGGCATTGATTCATCTCTGCCAGTTGACGCATTGATCGGCTGGCTGTAGGTCTTGGTGTAAAAGCGTGAGGATTAACAGACTGTCCAGTGGTCATTAATTTAGAGGTTGGAATGAACTTCCTAGGACTGCTAAGTGTGCATCTCACTTACCTAAGTACCCAAGTGAGCACAAGCATGTTGCTTTATAGATTTCGCAGGTATAACCAAAGACTATAGAATACCCAAGACGTGTCACTCGTATAGTTTTGAATGAGGGAAAATGCTACGCTCAATATGGCCACTCTATCGAAAAGCCCCGCCTTTTGAGTAAAAGAGCCAATCACTAATCGGTAAAGTCATCGCATCACTGCAGCTGCGTTAGAAATCCCGGTTGCTATAGAAACAGTCAGCATTATGCAACGCACACTTAGGACTTCGCATGTGCACTAGCTGGTCTAGCCTGAAAAATACGCTTTTTTTTTAAATGCAAATAAACAACATTTATAAGGCAGTTGTTGTCAGATTTCATTGGTGATTTCAAATGTGAAATTTAATCGTAAGCTTGGTGAACAGTTTTGAAGAATTTGATGTTTCCCCATTCAAAGAAATAGGAGCTGCACTTGCATGCCGGAGAGGCATTTCAAAGATGGCCGCCGAGTGAAATGACTTGCCTGAGTCATTTTTGAGTCCAGTACACTCAAAAAATATATGGGCCTAATTTTAAGAATTATGCAATTGTGCATAGGCCTATTTATTACACGGTTTTAACACAAACTAATTTAATGTGATGCATATTTGTCGGTCATACATAAATGAAAGATTTCTGCCCTCTTCACAAAAATCATGGCCTAGTTTATCAACTATTTGCATCTATTTGATTTTATTTAACAAATCATATTCAGAGTGAATGTATTCAAATAGAATCAGCATAAATCTGTTCATTGTAAGAAACAAATAAATCTTATTCTGTTAAAAAGTATGAACATTGTTAAAATATGGCTAGCTTCAATTAGTTGAATTGGATTTATTGAAGTATATATATTGTTGTGTATTCAAAACACAGTCAGTTTAATAGTAGTATTACAGAAATCTTATCCGTCTCATTTATGTATGAATGACAAATATGCATTACATTAAGTTTATTAGTTTGTTAAAACTGTGTAATCCAAATAGATGGAAATTTTATATGCAATTCAAATACATAAATGTAAAATTTAGGTCTAAATATTTTTTGAGTGCAGCACATTAATGTGATGAAAATTATACATGTACTGTTCAAAGAAAACCACCCTTACCTTTTTATTATGGTGTATATAATTCTGTGATCATGCATTTGACCAGTCACCTTACAAATGTTACAGTGCAGTGATTATTTTGATTCCATTTATCTTTACATTTTCATCTGTGGAAGCTGCTACACCAGGGTGAGCAAGATTTTTGGCAAAGGGGCCATATTGGGTTTTAAATGGAGGGTGCAATTACCTTTGAGATGCAATGCTCTTGTATTCTAAAAGCTGAGAGAAGTCTATGTACTCATCTTAATAAATGACACACAATTTTCTGAAGTATATCTGGCTAATGGGGCCACTCAGTTCATTTTTTGAACTACCTTCAGTATTGCTCTGCAAAGGTAGACAATTTTCACCAGGCATTATACAAGGTTTATTTGACTTCCCTCTACTTTCCTGGAGAGTTTATGATTCATATTTACAAAATGGTAAACTAAGAGCTTTAAACTCTTAGAAACAGTATAGTAATAGGTAGTATTCCCAGGTTATTGTCTGTTTCAGTAGTACACAGAGAAATCATTATCAAGAGAAAAGTGTCATGCTCATGTGTGCATATTATAGAAAACTGTCATGAAAAAACATAATTTTAAGGTAGTTGCTGAGCGGTTTCCCGGATCCAACAAGTGTCACGTAATGTAGTGTTTCATAACCCTGGTCCTGAATCCCCCATTGACTGTACATTTTGGATGCCTTATCTGACATTCCCATTTCAGGTCTTCGAGACTCTACTAAAGAGTGGATGTCTTGAATGCAGGTGTGTTTGATTAGGGAGACATCCAAAATGTGCAGTGTTGGATGTATACCACAACCAGGGTTGGGAGACAGGTCTGTGTTTTATTAAAAGGTATCACTGAGATGTAAGTAGCACCAAGCAACGGCTTTCCTTTGAACAGAATATAGCACTGGAGATCAATCATCTCCAAAATGCAGTTAGATGTTTGGTGGCACCCTTCACAGTAGAGTGAGAGAACACGCTCATGGTTGCCATATTTGGGTGAACTGAGTAAAATATTGGGCAAGTTGTGCAGGTTTAAAGCTCTGATTGAGTATTTTGGTTTGGATCCTTTGTTAAATGCTTGTGGAGGCTCGTTAGGAGCGATAACAGAGCTATCGAATGACAAAATTTCAGGATAATTGACCTGGATTAAACCACGTCGAGGGCCGTAGTTTGCCCGTGTGTTTGCTAGACTCTTATGAAGGTCAGAATTGAACAACCGTTGAACTGAGCAAAAACGTACAAACTTTGAGAACTCAATCAGTCAATAGGGAGAGTGATGGAGAGGTGGGCTGGAGTGGGGAGGACTGTTTGTCTGTTGTTCTCAATAAAGATTGGATTTACAATAACATTGCCTCCACCCCCTGTCCTCTCTCTCCTCCCTCTCACAGCATTTTAAAGCTCTTGGCTCCTGGATCTGCCCTATAAAACACCGTAAACATAAAATCCACAAGCACTTAGAAACTGTCCTTCCGAGAGCAGGGGTGGAGGGAGGGATAAACATCCTTTTTACGCCACTAGCCATCCATCGCTCTGTCAATCCACCCATCCATCTAGTTAGTGGGAGAGGATATACTGTCCTGTATTGGTTTATTAAGTTGCATTACATTGTGAATAGTGTATTGTGATTGGGCTTGTGAGAAAAACCACATGCCCTTTGTCGGTTTTACAACTGAAAAGTACAAAAATAATAAAAAAAAAATATATATTGTTATTATTATTATTAGGGGAAGGTTATGATGTAGGATCATAACCTTGAAACAGAATAAACAGTGTTGTTTAATGAAGATTATTTGGAGTGTTGCCTCACAATGTTTGCTCATGGGAGAAATTGCATTCGCCCTCCATGTTTATTCATATTCTGCTGGGAATTAAAAAACGAGTGTCAGTGTTCGGAGTTACAGATAAGCGATATTGCAGACACAGATACAGAAACGATCCCAGATAAGAGTGACGCCATGCAGTATAGATTAAAATGGAACTAAGAGTTTTTATTACATTTTTTAAAAATAGAAAAAATGAAATTGGATGGATTTGATTGAATTTCTGTATTATAAAAAGCAGCAAAAGAAAGTGAAGGGCACTGTGGATGGGCTTAAGGTTACTAGTTTTTTTTTTTTGTGTTTTTTTTCGACTTTTGACTGACTGCAGAATAATCTAGAAAGCCCCAAGATGTGTGGCGCAGAACTCTATCTTTACCCTCAGCCAGAAAAATAGCCCCACAGACAGAGGAGAGAGGCATGGATGAGAATGAAGGGAGTAATGCTGCATTTCTGCCTGTGCAGTTTTAGCCTTCACTGCCGGGTTTGACGGTATGCATAATTCACACTGATATGTCTTCCTTTCACAAAAAGCTTGTGATATTCACACCGCTATAGCAGGGAGTGTGGATAGCGCCACACAAGCGTATGTAAAATGTGTAGACATCTCTAAATAGGACTGAAAATGCAGCTTATTTGTCAAAGAGCATAAACCATTAAATCTGTTATCTGTTGCAAATGAAGCTCAGCATCCTTAGCTGGTGGTTAAGACCCCTCTCACCAGCGTAGGCGAATTTAAAATGAATTCACACTGAGAAATCTCACATCTCTCAGCATATGCCACATTGTTGCTAATTGGAAACCAAGCTTGTTGGAGGGAAATGGTTGTCACACACGCAACCCTAATAAATTCATTCTGTCTGCGTCACTTAGAAAATTTAATTTCAGTGAAATGGCTTTTCTTTTATATAGCGTTTTAGCCAATTTAGTTTGTTTTGTTGAATACTGCGGCACTTTGAAAGAAGAAAAAAGGTTTAAACGTATGTGAACAATGAATATAAATTGAATGAGAATATGAACTGTTCATATATTTTGGAACATCCAGAAATTCCCAAATGTAGTGCCGTGGCTGAATTCTGTTTGATGCCCAAGGCTTTGGAATCAGCTTTCAGTTACTGAACCTTTAACGATATTAATGATTTAGGATTTAAAAAAAAAAAAAGATCTGAGCATGTTTGCAGAATGGCAGCCTCATAGCAATTATTTCAGGCCTTGTTAAAAGCCTCCCACCTATACCATTCTCTCACAATCAATCGCCACTTTAGCTCCAATGAAGGAATGTGAAATTGTTGGTCTCCTCTTAGTCTAATTAGTCTAATTGACCCAATGTGGTAAATGCAGGGGAAAGAGGCATGTTGTTCATCAGGGACAACTTCTGAGAGTTGCTGCTGCTGTTTGGATAGGTGCAATTGCTTAGTGTAATTGTAATTCTCGGTTTGGTTTCGCTAGAGACAACGTGAGAGGCGCTGTGAAGACTCAGGTGTACCTTCTCAGGATTTGATTTACCAGTAATTGGGACTTGTCAAACTCTCAAGTTAATTGTTGGGTATAGTGAAGTTGGCCTTTTTAACTGGTAATTTTAGTGGCAAAAGCTACTTTCAGATACTCTTTGCCTTTTGTGGATCATTATAGATGCTGTTACTGTGGATTCCTCCATATGTCAGTGTCTGCAACTGTCTTCAGCTGTCCTCATGCATAATAAGACTCAATAATTTGATGTTGCTGTGAATTGTAAATCGCTATGAAAGAAGGTGCTGTTTTCATTTGAGAAATGGGTTGGGGAACAGGTGCAAATAACTAATTAAACTGTATGCTGTCTGAGAAACTGTGCTGAGGACACAGCACGTGCTGCTTTTATGTACACATTAAGCTATTGAAGAGCTTGTGTTTAAAGGCCATTCTTTCTTGGATACTGTATACCGCGCTTCCCCCCTCTCATTATATTGATCTCTACATTGATTACACAGGCATTACCACGCTCTCCATATTGGAGGCATGTTTGCTCTTAAATAGACACTATGAAATTGGATACTCTTTTCCTTATTCACTCTTCCAGCAGACGAGTATTCGCCATATATGCCTATCAATGCCACCATGGAGATTTTATCTAAACTGTTTAGCTTCACAAGGCCCAGACAAGGGGATTTTGTCTCATACATGATGTGTGAATTTGTTATTATTTTAAAGTACAGGGAAAATGTTTTCTTGGAATATAGATTATATATTTCTATAGCTTCTCATTAACTTCATACACATTGACAATGTATTTCATCACAACTTTTAATGATACATATATGAATGAAAAAGATAACAAGCTTTATTTACTATTCATCATAATGTATATCCGTATCTATAAGGAGAGAAAGACGTGATTTACATGGACTACTTTTTGAATAGTTCACTTTTAAAATGCATCAGAAAAGGCTGGAAAATTGCAGATCCGGTACGGATATCCATTTAGTGTCGCTAACTTGCTACTCTCTCGGCTAATGCTGCATTTAAGTCACACAAAGTCAGACTGTGGAAAAAAGTGGATTGTCTTTAATCAGTTAAAGACCTTAGTTCTCTCTCTTCCTTCTTAGCCCACACACAAGATGCAGAGGTTCACAGTGTTACATATTTTATAAATCCCTGATTTCTGTTTTTCCTGCACCTCTGGGTTGTAGATACACACACTGTTTCACACACAAAGATTGTAAAGAGATGACATGTTAATGTTGTCTGAATTTTTTCTAGTCATCTACTAGATTTAGTGTCCATGATATTTTCTGGTATGTCCTTTAGTTGCCCTTTAGTTTGCTATTTTACATGCTAAATTGACTGCATTATCTATGTCAGCGTGTCAGTTTGGGTTCATTCATCAATTAGTGTTGCCCCCTGTCATGATTGTCTTTCTGTTTAGTTAAAATGACCTCAGATTTTTTGAAGTCATTCCTTTTGTCATAATTGAAATACATGTCTGTTGTTGAGCAGGTAAAACTACTGAGCTTCATATATTGTGTTTGACTGTTCTTGAAACCTCCATGTGGGGAATGGAAAATGTGATTTGTTTTGTTTGTTTGTTTTTTCAGACATAAGATAGCCACTTTTTCAGTGTCTTATTTTTTTAGACAAATTTTCTTTGTGAACATGAAACCTTTTTCTGCGCCTTCATCTCTTTCCTTTTGTCTCTTTCTACCCCACTTTTCCCACTCCCATTAAAAGAAAAGAAAAGAAAATTTGAGGTCTTTCATTGTCAAAACCATTATCACCACTGTCAGCTCTCTTGGTTGGGAACAAAGTCCTCGTGCTGCGTGCAAAAGAAATAGAGAGAATAAAGGAAAAGCCCATAAAAGGAGGGAGAGAGAACTGAGAATTAGAATTTGAATAACAAAAAGATTTCTTTTTCTTGCTGTCGTCGTCAGTATCCCCCAGAATGGAAAGGCATCAGTTTTCCCCAGTGCATATATACACAGTAAAGTCCAGGTAGTAAATTTAAATCTATATGAACCTGGTCCCAGAACTCATCATTATCATGCTAACCCTTAAAATGAGCTAGTTTTATGACACTGATAATCATTGGTACTAAGATGCAAAAACAGCTTCAATTATCATCTGAATATTGGATGACATCAACACAAAGAGTGGTATCCCTGGCACCTTCTGACTATTATTGGTATTTTAAGCATGTTCCAGAGGGTTTTTGCCCATTAAGAACAATGTTTTGAAAACAGACTAAAGGAGGCACAAAGGGTACTTTGGAATAGGGGTGTGCCGAATGAAAACCTGCTCCATTCACGTATCACGAGGTGTTCCTTTCTGAACATTTTTACCTAACCATGTTATTGTTTTGCATCATTTATGTAGAGTGGCTGCAGTACAGTCCATATAGCTTTTTTAACACCTGATTTTGAATAGTAAATCATATTCATTCTTGTACATAGAGTAACATCACTAAATTACCCATTTCACTTAGCAGAATTCTGATTTTTGTTTTAAACGTCTTCATGTTAAAACAGCACTCCAATGGTGTGAAAACTATGCTATTTTAAGTATAAATATTTAGATTTTTTAAAAATCTACTTGAAGTCTTCTATCCAGTAATAACTTTTTGTGTATGATAGATGGGGGAAAAATGGTCCCCTTAGAATCGGCACACCCCTACTTTAGAACTTAGGGAAAAGAACCCTTACCCAACTGCTTTACCTGATAACAGGAACATTATAGGCAGGGGGCTATAAAAAGGCTATCACGTGTATGAATAATCTATGTCTGGTATTCCTCCTTCTCTGTACCCTCGATTTGTTCCATAGCCTGGATTTCCTGTGTGGTTCAGGGTGCTCCTATATAGAGTTGCATTATTAGAGGGAAAGATAGTATGAATGTATGTCATATCCTCAACTTTTGCCTTTGGCTGCAAAGGCTGTTGGGCAGACATTGGTGTCATTTGAAAGCCGTGAGGTCTGATTTCTAAGATGGACGTGTCTTTTATGGTTCCTGACTCAACATAGTCATCAAAATGTTTGATGGCACCTCGTGATCCAACAACATCTCTGCCGTATATAGAATGGTCACCTGGCGCAAGGTACCCTGCACGGTGTCCGTACCAGCAGAAGATGGCAAAAATTAAGAACAAAGACACCAGTGCTGTTGCACCTCCAATAATTCCAGCAAGTGGTAGGGCTGACAGTTGGTCAGTTCCTTGATCACTGTCCTGGTCTGAAATAGACTGCTCTAGGGGATCAGTCTCTGTTTTGGCACAAGCAGGGTGCTCATGCTCTGAGTTTGTGTTAATGTTTAAACCCCCAGTTGCTGTAAAATAGGTTATTTTACCATCGTTTCCAGAGAGGGGCACCAAGCAGATGATGTAACTTGACTGGGGCTGTAGTTGCGTAAGTAAATACTCACGGCGATCCCCTGGCACAAGTGTTTCTGTGATTGACCCCATTGCGGGACTGTTGCCTAGTCGTAACCAGGAAAGTCTGAAGGAGGGGACTGGCTGTGCAGCCTGCCAGGTAATGTGGACTGTCTCTGGTGTGAGAGGTTTTACACTGATTAGTAATGATTTATCTGTAACCCCATTTCCACCTCCAAGACTGTCCTGGCTAATATCTGAATACTTGTGTCCTGGTCGTCTGGATCTGAGGGTAAAGAGTGAACCCTGCGGAAGTGGAGGGGTTGTTGTAGCTGGTGCTTGTGTGGGAAAATAATCTTTCTCCTTCTTTGCTCCATCGTTTCCAACCATTCCTCCCGCAGTATCTGCGCTGACCTCGCAGTCTTCCAGTTGACTTGTAAGGTCCCTTAGTGCCATGCCTCTTAGTCTTTCTGGTCCATGGCAAGTTAAACCTCTCACAGTCACAGATGAACCTCGCTCATGCAACCAGTCATGAAGCCAGCGGAGGTTACAGCCACAGTACCAGGGATTTCCTCGGACAAGTAATTGTGAAAGGCTGTCCAGGTCCTTGAATAAACCTCTCGGAAGAGTCGTCAAGTTGTTACCTGATAGGTCCAGTTTCTGTAGCCTTCGCATGCCATCCAGGGAGCTTCGTGGCATGTGGGCTATGGCATTGTCCTGTAGATAAAGCCGAAGGAGATGCATACTTGGAAGGTTTAATGGTGGTGCCTGGAGCGAGTTACGAACCAGAGAGAGCTCTGTGAGGTTAGACAGCCGTGAGAATGTATCATCTGCAATACGTTGATTTGCCAGCAGATTTCCATCAAGGAAGAGACGTCTTAGAGAGGAGAGACCTCGAAATGCGTGTGTTGGAATAGTTGAAATGCGATTGTCGTCTAGGCGGAGTTCCTCAAGTGATGCAGGCAGTCCTGATGGTATACTTGAGAGGTGGTTGCGTGACAAAAAAAGAAGACGCAGCCTTGGATTGTTGGCGAATGCTTTGTCTTCTATGCTTACGGTTGAAACGGAATTGTCATCCATGTGAAGCTTCTCCAGCAGGGGTAGCCGTGCAAGAGCGGAACGGGGTAAAGTTCGTATATTGTTGTCCTGTAGGTGAAGTTCTCGTAGTGACGGAGGCAGATGTGTTGGAAAATCGTCAAGTTCATTATCATAAAGGTAAACTACTCTCACAGTCAGTCGTCGCTCTAAAGATGTTGGTAGCCCAGCATTGTCTATTCGGTTGTTTTGCAGATACAGCACAGCTGCCGTTAATGGTAATGGTGGGATGATACTCAAGCCACGGTCATTGCAGTAAATGAAGCCATCATCGCACCTGCAAGCTGAGGGGCATGGCACATCTCCCTGAAGCTCCGCCTCACCGAGAGCTGCCTCAGCGGCGGCAGCTGTTGCTGCAGCAAACTCGAGGACTTCAACCAATAATGTCAGGCATAGGAGAAGTAGGAACAACCAATCACGGAGTTCAACTAGGCTCTCTGTGGCCATAATTCCAGGCAATGTACCCCACTCTCTCTGCAGAGGTAATTTATCCCAATGTCTCAAGCCAATATTCTTGGTCAGTGTAGTATTGAAAACGCAGGTTTTTCTTGCCCTTCTTTACTTCCAATCACAAGCCCTGTGGGAAATATAGAAAATGTTTTTTTTCTAAGAATTTTTCAAAATACAGAGGTTACATTTGGTTTAGAGTTCAGTGCAATTATCCAAATATCTGTTATATAGTACGCTGTCTGACTTTTACAGGACTTCTGCTTAAATGTGAAAAACATTGCAAGGTGGTAAAAGGGTTAGTAAGCAAGATCAGAGAAAATCAGTAAAGCTGAACGGCTTTCTAGACAACCTTACAGAACAACTGACAGATAGGGAGCATTAGACATAACATTAGAATAAAAAAGGACTGGAAGAGAATGGCAAATGGATTGCGGTTGAGCTATATAAATAAATAGTGTGGAAAGAGTTGAATGTAATGATTACATTGCTACATTATACACTGAAAATTGTAGGTGTGAGGTGGTCGTTCTAAACCTATATTAAAATGTTATTGACATTTGAGTTCCTGGAAAAACAATTACAGGTTTATTCCTGGATTGACCTTAAGTCATATTACAATTCAAATGTTACAGGGAACTGTGTTTGAATAAATTACTAGTTTAATTTTAGCTCAAGTTTTTGAAAGTTCACGAAAGTGTCAGAGTTCTCGTTTTCGGCCTGATTTGCAATTGAGATTTACGTAGATGAAAACCACAGACGTTTACAACAAATTGACATGCATAATAGCTAGATGCTGGTTGTTATTGTTTTCAAAATAGCATGAATTATTCAGAGAGACTACATAGAATACCCAACAGAGATTTCACTCTGTGTTTAACCAATCATTGACTAGATGGCCGGGGATTGTGAATTTCCTGTGTATGTATTAGTCTGTAAGGTTTGTCTGTGACTCTTATCAATGTTAAACAGAGGAAGGAAGGCAAAGAATATTTGCAATTTAGCTAGAAATTCATTTTATTTTATTATTTTTTTAATAATAATTTAATATCTAGACTGTCCTGTAAGGTCTAAAATGTTTTGGGCCAGTGAGTTATTACCACTAAATATCTTGCATTTATTCATTCAGTTTTATTAAAATTGCCAAAGAGTGATTAGTCTTGGAAATATCATTAAGAACTAGGGCTGAACGATTATGACAAAAATCATAATTGTCGATTAATCCCTTGAAATTGTAATTGCGATTATTAATTACGATTATCACAATTTACATTGAATGATGTTTATACCATTGTTTGATGCAACTGCGTGCCGTATGGTTATATGAAAATAAACAACTGAAAAACCTTTAGTGCTTTTCTATAGTATTAAGCCTCAAATGTCAACTATACATCGGATCGGTTTCTTCTTTAAATTATAAAAAAAGTAAAAATATGAATGGTATTATAATGTTATACTAAAACTAAAACAATGGAAAACCCCTTAAGATAACATATAGAAAGAAAAAAACATATCTTAAGCGTGCAGAATAACACATGGATGATTAATTCCCGCTTTGAACGATTACGTAATTGTGGCATCCATAATTG